GCAGGCAGACTGGTAGGTGTACCGAGGCCTGTTTCCCTCCCTCCTGCAACACAGGCAATACATCATGTTCTCCTCTGAGCTCTGTCAAGGACTATCTATTTGAGAACTCTGTGTGTGTGTGTGTGTGTGTGTGTGTGCTTGTGAGAGCAGGGATCTAGAAAGTGGGCAGAGAGAACTACCACACCCTGGGAGCATTTGCCTCCACTGCAAGGAGCTACGCAGGGTGAATATTACAGTGGATGTTTTCGTGCTCACATGCACTTCATCCTACATTTATTGCTGTATGCATACACAGCAATTTATATTCTCTGTTTAATCTGCAGGGTTTATATTCTTTGTTTAATTTGCTGAAGATTGTTTTTCCTTCACTCTCTGAGATTTGCTTCAGCGTTGAGTAGGCCTTGTGTGTCAGCACACGTGTCTTTGGTCATGAGTGTGTTGAATGTCTAACAAAGGTCACACCATTTGGCACATCATGTGCATATATTGTCAACCTGCCCAATAGCAGCCCTCTTCTCTCCTACCAAAACCTATCTACATCACCAGCCTTTCCATTCACCTCTCCCTGCCTCATATCCTCTACCTCACTACATTCCTCTTTCATTTCCTTCTACATCTTTTTTCCTCTCGCTCCATTTCCTTTTCCATAAAACACACTTTCTCCTTGGTCTTCATTCCATCTCCTCTTCACGCCTCTTCTCCTTCCTGCTGGCTGGTTTCCCAGGATGCCTTGTTCCAGGCCGCTTCGCTAGGCCCCAGCAGCATGGGCGGAGCCTGGGTGGGGAGAGAGAGCACAGATTGGACCCTTCCCCTCAGGACGGGCGTGCTGGCGGGTCACCTTCCCTCATCTTCAGATGGGCGAGGACGCTGAGAGCCCCAAAATCAACCACACCTTCCTGCGAGACTATGTCACTGAAGGTAGAACAGCCATTGCTGTCTCTTTGGTGTCAAATAACAAAGTGGAATGACTGAATGGATTCATTTCGGTTTCATGGGTGCATTATCCTTGTACTGCAGTTTTAAATATTACATATATTCTATTGTCTTGTTTGGAGTCTAAGGAGTTGGTAACAAAAATAATATATCATTTTACTGAACAAGATACCTTGTAATAATCCAGTATTTCATTACATCCCCTTCTACATTTATCTCCTGTAATTCCCCGCCTCTCTTTTTCATGGTGCCTACTTAATATCATTTTCTATTTATATTCAACTCTTTGTCTTTCTCTCCCTTTCTTTATACTTGTTTTACTCTAACCATTATTTCACTTAACTGCTTCCCCATTTTCCTGTCCTCCTCCCAGCTGATGTCATCTCTACAGTGGAGTTTAACCACACAGGGGACCTGCTGGCCACAGGAGATAAAGGTGGCCGAGTGGTCATCTTCCAGAGAGAGATTGAGGTCAATTTAATATTTAAAACCCATAATAATCACCCCTATCTACGCCCAGTATATCTTTAGGCAGCATGAATTTGATACTACTTTTGTCCTAGCTACAGCACTGTGTAATGATGTTTCACATAGCCCTAAATGCTTATTCTTTGCACTGTGTCTTTACATATAGACATGTCTATTCAAAGCTGTGTTTTTTCACTACTGACCCTGGACAGTCTAAAGGGGAGTCAGAGGAGACAGGGGAGACGGGGGACTCTGGGGAGTACAATGTCTACAGCACATTCCAGAGCCACGAGCCAGACTTTGACTACCTGAAGAGTCTGGAGATTGAGGAGAAAATCAACAAGATCAAATGGTTACCACAACAGAATGCAGCACATTTCCTCCTTTCCACAAATGGTGAGTCATCAGTGATGTTTCTCTCCCAAAAGATCATCCAGATTTCCAGTTAGGATATAGCTCAACTAGCAGACCTGTCAAGACTCTGTCATTACAACCTTGAATCTGCATGAATAAATATTGATAGATATTAGACACTGGGCTGCGGTGTGAATTACACACTTCAGTACATCCCACGTCCACTTCCCAGCATTACGCCAACCTAGCATAATCTTTTATTTCCTGGGCTGGATAAAATAACATCAAGCCAGTCACTGGAATGTAACCTGGGGGTACAATTAGTGGCATTAACCTGCCACAGTGTTCAGTCGGTGCTTTAATTATACTCATGAAACCTACTAATCATGAGTTGAAGAATAGTAGCTTACTTTATGGGTAATATCACAATTTCCAGCTACAATACATAAAATGGATCACCTAGACTGCCTTAAAGAACTGAAAAACAAAACTTTATCAGTCTCTTTTCCACTCTAACAGTTATTGCCATATTTCCCTCAAATGAATCAACTTCCCCTGATTTCTACCTGTCACAGATAAGACAGTTAAACTGTGGAAGGTGAGTGAGAGAGACAAGAGACCAGAAGGATACAACCTGAAAGATGAGGAGGGGCGGCTCAAGGATGTCTCTACCATCACCTCTCTGCAGGTGCACATGTTAACATGCACTCCTGAACATTCACACTTTTAGTTTGGCAAGTCTGTATGTATCAGATTGGTGTTTGTTTGGCAAGTCTGTTTTCTGTGCTTTTGTTCTTAATGCCATTTGATCCCTGTCTTTGATATCCTCTAATCCAGCCCTTCTTGTCTTTATTGTTGTCATTTTGTCTTTGTTCCTTCAGTTTTTAATCTTTTATATTTTTCTGTCAAAGGTGCCGGTGCTAAAACCTACCGATCTGATGGTAGAGGTTCGTCCCAGAAGAGTGTTTGCAAACGGACATACGTACCACATCAACTCCATCTCAGTCAACAGTGATGGTGAGACGTACCTGTCTGCTGATGACCTCCGCATCAATATGTGGCACCTGGGCATCACAGACCGCAGTTTCAGTATCCTTCCTAACAGCAATTTGTTTTGTTAAGCACTGGTTTCATTTTCACCTTCATTCTTCTTTCTGTAACTCTATAGATCGCCTATGATTTTTGTTTATAACAACCTCTCACTTGGTGAGGATTCTCCAATTTCCCAAGGTATGAAATTACCAGAACTGCACTAAATAGAAGTACACAGTGGGGCTATCTTTTTCACTGTTATAAAAGTAGTTGTGCATATCATCATGACCAGATGTGCAGCATCAGTGAGAAAATCATGCTTAGATTATCTTCAAGCTAAAATCTAATGGCTATAGAACAAAAGATGAAGAGTGGGAACAGTGCACAACAGAAACCTTAAGTCTATGTAACTGAGCCTCTTCCTATAAAGTTTGTAAGAATAAGTCAGTAATATAATTAGGTTGAGTTCCACATTCCTAGGAGCAATTTCCCAGTCTAAAACTAATGCTTATTTGGTTGCTTACAGTCACCTTTTGGTGGGAGGAAAATAAATATTTTTGTCAGTGAATCTGCATATTAATGTATTCTGCTAAAACAAGGGCACACCAAATCCTGTGTGTCTTGAAGACATCTGTGCAGCAGATGCAAATGTGCCAACATGCATATGCATGTTCTGCGATGTTCACTGGAGCAGCATGGTTCCTTAAAGTAACCTACTTTTGAAAGTCATTGTGCATAGTTTGTATTTATCAGTTTTACCATTCACTGGCATCTACTGTACTAATACTACTGTAAATAGCAAATCCATACATCCAAACCCATGCTTAGAATACATATATCTATCACACACATTATTCCACCTCTTGAAATATACATACAGTAGAAATATACTTTATATTAATTCATTGATTTAGAGTTCATGTAAACAGCACATGACTATGTTTGGATTCATAGCTGGTTTGGAGTGAGGTGTACCGCCTCAGAGTCTGTGTTCATTGCAGGCTGTAGCATGTTGGTGATTTGCTATTCAAATAAAAGCTGACCTAGAAAATCACAGAAGTCTCTATGGAAGCAGATTTTAAATAATTCACTCAACAGTACACTTTCTACTGAATCACACAGGACTGCCACAAGCAGAACTGAGAGAGGGGAACAGAGTGCATGTGTGTATTGGAGTTTGGCTTTTTTGGGGGTGGTTATTAAGAAATGAGCATTGTGACCATAGAAAAGAACAGGAAAAGCACAGAACATTGAATCAATACACATGAGTTATTGGCTGTTCATCCACTTCAAAGAAGAACAGGCTAGAATCCAGTATTTCTGTGGTGTTTGATCTTTGACAGACCCTCTTCTCAGATATTGTGGACATCAAACCAGTCAATATGGAAGATCTGACAGAGGTGATAACAGCAGCCGAGTTCCACCCTCAGCACTGCCACTTGTTTGTGTATAGCAGCAGCAAGGGCACCCTACGGCTCTGTGACATGAGAGCGTCCGCACTCTGTGACAGACATACCAAATGTGAGCAACGCATGTTAGATGCAAGCTATAGTTTGCATCCTGCCTGTTAGATTGTAGAAAGGACAACAGGCCCTATTTGCATTGATGATAACAACAGAGACTTGAGCATAAGCTACAAGAGTCTTTAAAACAAGATCTGGAGGTGTATTTGTTAATAATCACTGTGACATCTACAGTAACTCCACATTTCTTTGTCCAGCATTTGAGGAGCCTGAGGATCTAGGGAGCCGGTCCTTCTTCTCAGAGATCATATCATCTGTGTCGGATGTCAAGTTCAGTCACAGTGGACGCTACCTGCTGACGAGAGACTACCTCACCGCCAAGGTGTGGGACCTGAACATGGACAAAGGCCCTGTGGAGACATACCAGGTAAGAAAACAATTAAAATAATTGGTAGTTGCACCCTCAAGATGTCAAATATGCTGTGTGAGTTGTCTGAAGTTTGGTATAATACTGTACGCTCATAATATGCAGAAATTTTATTATAGTGGATTAGAGTGAAAGAAATGCATGTGACTGCAAGATGAATCCCTTTATTATTGATGATGGATTAAATATGTCTTCAGTCCTCTGGGTTACTATGTACAATTCTGAGTCTACCCTAGAAACTAAGGCTGACTCTGTGTGTCGTAACCAGGTCCATGAATACCTAAGGAGTAAACTATGTTCCCTGTATGAAAACGACTGCATCTTTGACAAATTCGAGTGTGTTTGGAACAGCACAGATAGGTAAGTGGTAGCATAACAGAGAGAAAAAAGGTAAAAAAAGATTAAGTATGGTATTTTAAGTACACTTGAAAGCAAAGAATATAAGGATGGGGCAGTGTGTTTCTGCTGACAGTAATTTTCTAAATGCTCTGCCTCTGCCAATACATGACAGTTAAATCAATCCCACAGAAAAGCTTTGCAGGCATCCCATCAATCCATGTTCCGTCAGCTTGTTTTTTACTTTTCTTCTCCTCATCCTTCCATGAACCTTATTTGTTTCTCTTCCTGTTCATTCTCTGTCTTAACATCATTCATATTTATTCATTTGCCTTCTTCAATAAGACTTCTAATTATGTCTTCTCTCCTCTCCCCAGTGTGATTATGACAGGGGCGTACAACAGCTTCTTCCGAATGTTTGACAGAGAGACGGGTCGAGGTGTAACCCTGGAGGCGTGGCGGGAAAGCAGTAAGCCTCGGGCTGTGCTACGGACCCGACGTGTCTACACCGGTGGTAAGCGTCGTCGTGGAGATGTGGGCGTTAATAGCCTAGACTTCACAAAGAAAATCCTGCACATGGCTTGGCACCCATCTGAGAATATCATTGCCATAGCAGCCACCAACAATTTGTACATCTTCCAGGATCGTGTCAACCCTGAGACGCAGGCACAGTGACAGTGATGGGAATATGGGCAGCAGCAGACAGTGCTTTCCTCGAATCTGAACAACAAACAGTGACTCAAATTATTTGGAGATAAGGCACAGGGAGTGGACAGCCTTTATGAGTATTCTAAAGCAAGCTGTTTCACAACATCCTGAGATGAAACATCTATTTGTATTGATAAAAAGATTGGACTAATGACCAAATGACAAGAGTTCATTTTTTTCTGTCTCCAAGGAAGGTGTGTAACATTTTGTTCCATCACTGAGATGAACTGATGACTTTAGTGCCCATCAAGACATGTTTTGGTTCCACTCTCTTCCCACATTTTGAAGATGTTTGTGTAACTGCCCCACTGTAGAGGCAGTAAAAGAGGTGCAGGGACACCTCTCCATCAGCATTGACTCAGTGCAGCTGACCACACAGTGTTGCACTCCTCTGGTACCATTTGACACAAAAAGGATATGTGTTAGGTAGCAACAAAAAAAGAACGCTATACAAAACATGAAGGCCTTGCGATGATTAGACTGTGGATTCAAAATGACTTGAATGAATCTAAACATTTTCTCACAAGTGTAGAATATTAGGAGTGGTGTTATTGTACAGCTTGTCACAGCAACATCCCAATCTTTTTTTTTTTTAATCGGGAGAGAACAGCAGCTGAACCTCTCCTTTAGAGCAGTGCTCTTGGAGTCTGCTTGCACAATTCACCCGTATTCTTTCCCCGATCCACTTTGCAATAATAACACTAACAAAAACACAGTGCGGCAGTATTCCTGCTTTAAAACATCAGCTTTTCTTCTACAGGTAACATAAAGTAAATGTATACACTCTTTTTACTGTTAGTTGTAAATATTCTGTTCTTTTTGTTAAGATGATGCTGATTTTGCTTCCAGAAGACTAAAAGGTAAAAGATGTGCTATGACTAGTACATTACAAGCAGACCTGAGATCTCACTTATAGAAAGGCTGTGGAATCGCACTATTCCAAGTACACATAAAGGGGCATATGCTTGTAGCAGTACATTTGTATATACTGTAGGTATTGCTGGCTCAAGAGAGGGGCAAATTGTGCACAGAACAACACTTACTGTTTAGTTGTGTGTATTAATCCTGTATTGGGTTTTGATTGCTGATCAAAGTCCTTTTCCTTGTCTAAAGTCTACATAGTTACAAGGCAAATTATTGTAATTGAGGGAGACAGCTGATCAAAGTTGAATTACTGCTGTGTTAATTTAAAATGAGCAAAGTGTTCATTTTCTAATGCACCAGAATATTTTATAATAGAATAAAGGATCTTATAATCAAAAGTTGGAATCTAAGCACATTGTTCATAGCTACATACAATGTGTGATGACTAAGGTTGTGTCCAGTGTGTCTGAAGGTCAGAGTATCATCAGTGCAATATCTCATGTATAGTACATGTACATTGCTGAAACATCTGTACAGTGAAACAATAATGTCAGTTTATCATATCACAGGTTCTTAATGTCATTTATACTGTATACCTCACAGTGCCACATACTCCTCTGGGGTGTGACACTGAAAGCCTACCGTAGGATGTACAGTGGTAAGGTAATGTCTCCGTTGGACTGAATTGTGTGACCTGGTTACAATTTGATTGTTTACAGTGCAGTGCTTTGTATTCAAGTGACCTTGGCCCTGGTGGGATTATTCTAAGTGATCTGGATGTACACCCTTCCAGGTGGTGTAAAGGAATCAGTGTAGAGGTGGAAAGTATCGTGTCCCTTTGCACTTTTTCAAAATCTGACAATTAGTCTGTCTGATGGATCGATGACAGTTCACTGTGGAAACCTCAAAGCCCAAGGAAAGAAGAAAACCTGTTGTATTTGTTCCACTTGTCTGCACCACTTTTGGTTTAAAGATCACAGCTCACAGACATTTACTTTGCAGTCTGTGGGCTAGGGGTTTCTCTTGTAGACACCCCTTTTTTTTCGGTCTTTACGGTTCATTAGTGTTGTTTAATGCAGGCTCAGTGTAGCACTGATTGGCTTAACAGCGTACACAAATCCATGATGATGACAACCCACAAGAAAATATCTTAGTGATAGGCCACCTAAAGCATTATGTAAGTTCCCGTCCTCCAGTGGTGAGCTATAGTTTAGAACAAGTCAAGTGTGATCGCATCATAACCACGACCACATATAACCAGTGAGAGGACTTGTGTCCGGAGCACAGCAGTAGCAGCATGCTGTCATTACTCAATGCTACTAGTGTGTATATCTATCATACTTTAAAAAGACAACTCTAACGATACAAAAAACTGAAAGCAAATGAGGTGATTGAAAGGAATGTGCATTAATAAAATTCCATCTGACAAACTATGTGTTGGATCCTTTTATATCTGTGTCTAATAGGACACCATTTTGTGCCATCGCTAAACACTTTCACTCAACAAAATGCCGCTGTCCTATGAAGCCTATGCATCCCAAGAAAAAGCAGCCCTGTTTTCAGCTTTGTCTAATGCATTTTTCATATAATCAAATTTTAATAACAGTGTTAAAGAGTTTATTTTGTTTAAGAAATAGTAGAGTTTCCTCAACCCAGAAAAATGTTTAATAATTCTGTTAATCTGAAAATGTCAAAATCTGGAGATATATGATTCTTTACTGGACAGTGGCAAAAAACAAAGATAAAAATCTGTGAAAATTATTCTGTCATCATAAATGTGACATCGTGGCATCAGTTCAGTCTAGAGGCACCCTATATTATGAACTCCCTCACTCCAAATATCCCCTGTAAGTGTCACTCCAAGTGGAATAAGTGGTAATGGATGAATTAATGAAACCTGAACTGTGGATCCAAGATACATTAATACCATGATAATTGCATCGCAAAAAAGACTCAAGAGAGTTAAGTAATTATTACTTCAGCTTCATTGTCTTGCTGTTTTCAGGCAGTTATTTTTGCAGACAGGAATGGAGAAAAGAAAAAATCAAAGGCAAACTTCAGGGCTTTCATTGTGGTGCGTCTCCAGTTCCTTTCTATCTTCACCTGCCTGGCTCCAGTCAACTCTGAAGAAATACAGTCCAGACAGTGGATAGCTTTTAACTCAAAGGATGGAGCTCTGGCTCCCAGACGGCCTTCCATCTTGGTGCTGAACTCCACCATATTACCTGGTTTCAGATTAAGTAGGACCTGTCTGAACTCATGGCTGGCCATTAGGATTATATCCATGGCTGGGTCCTCTGCCTCTGCACTTGCATCACGGACCATCCCTATTGTCACCTCAAATCGATAGCTGTCAAAGCGTTTGATATGGCAGGTGTATTTGGCCAGAACCTTGAGCTGACACAACTCTTCCTCTTCTTGTATTTGGAGCAGTGTGGGCAGTGAGACAGTAGCAGATGCTGAGCTGGCAGCCAAATCTGTAGCTGTTAGGTTTGTGATAGTCATATTCTTTGGCTCACATTTAGGATATGATTCTCCATACACGCAGCGCAGCCAGTCTCCTATGTACACCGGCAACATGTTAATGACCGACTGTGGCCCATTCTCTGTCTCAGCCACACGGACATGCTTGAAACGCCCAACCCATGTGACTCTGTGTCCTTGCAAGTGGCTACAGAAGATCTGTGTCTGGGCCATGCCTCTGGCTTCCCAAGCAGGAGGCCCACATGCCTGGCTGTACTGGCTCCAAGTTAATGTGGAGTTGTAGACTTTCTCTCCCTCTGCATGATACACATAGATTGAGAAGAACAGGATCACCATGGAGATACAGAGTAAGATGAGTTTGACTGG